GAGAGAGAGGGAGAATAAATTAAGAAACATTATTGATTTATTCGAGTCTGTTTTGGATCTAAGATCCCTAGAATAAAACAATAAAAAAAGATTTTTAATAAACTATACGATTAGTCACAGCATATCAGTTCATTGAATTCAATGGATATTTACTGCACAACGAAAAAAAAAAGTGTAAATCCAGGTACTAGACGTGGGACTTAAGATTAGAGATGTATAATGGAAATATTTGAAAAACAAGTAAAAACATACAGAAAATCTAATTTTATTATGGAAAATAAACTATGAGTCATATTAATGTTGTTTCCTTTTGATTTTACTAGATGTCATTTTAATGGTTTTTGTACCTCTATCATTATATATGTATATGTGGGAGTTAATTTTAAAATTCAGTTGTTTTCTAAAGACGATTGAATGTTACGATCGATTCTGGAACAGACGAAAAATGAAAATTTACTTGATGGGCTAAATTTGCAAAGATATATAAGATCATTCATTTTGATTATATATAAATAGAATATTTTTACTATCTTCTTGAGGATGGGTGTGGGTGTGTTCTTTTACAAGATAGTAAGAAAGATTCAATCGATAAAAGAGAAATTGAAAGTGATGTCATAGTCTTATCGAAGGTTGAAGAAAAAGATGATGTTTGAAAGAATATAAGTAATAGTTCATTGATTTAAAAAGAAAACGTAATTTTCATACGATGAGTAGTAATCATTTCTTCGACTATTTTCATCTCTGAAATACAATATATTCTGAGAAAATACTTGTGTGATATCTCCTTGCCCATAACTTAGAAATAACACATTTCGGTATAAGTTAAAAGAGCAGAAGAAAACAAATTACGATAACGTAAAGGAAAAAAATACTATATGGCTATATATGGAAGAAAATACCATGTGACCAAATATGTGGTTAATGTAGAGAACGAATCATTTATTTATTCGCTTACAAGTATAGTATAGACGAAATTCAATTCTTCGAAATACTTTCATTTTGGTAAGTTAGTCTCTTGAAATAATATAAAGAATGAGCAAAAAAGAATGTTATATAATGACCATCTTGATAATGAGAGTAATGATGATACCAGTGTAGGACTGGTTTAAAATGAACATAGCGATGCACTAGAGTGAAGTAGAGATTAATATATCATCCATTTCGAGGGTCAAGTTATGGGTATAAATCCGTGTTTAACCTTTAACTACATTCAAATCTACGTTAAAACATTCTTTCGTTGAAAAAACATCACTAGAGCTATTTGAATTTTTACTTAAAATTAAAAGCACATTATTATTATCGATGAGATTTTGCTGTACGAAAAAGTTCTTTTTAAGTGTCGTTTACAATTGAACAATGTTTTTATTATTATCCAGTTATTAAGTTTACATCTAGAAAATTAGATTAGAAAATATTCATTTATTCTAGAAATTTATATTCAAACACATGGCAATGACAAACAATAAAACACATTGTTTTACATGCAATAAAGATAAAATAACATATCCTTGTGATGGATGTTTGAAAAAGTTTTGCTTAATGGATTTAACAAAACATCGTCAACTATTAAATGAAGAATTAAATCATATTATTAATGATTATGATCAGTTTAAACAAAGATTCAGTGAACAAAAACCCAGTGTGCACGATCTTTCATTAATAAATGAAATTAATCAGTGGGAAATAGATTCAATTATAAAAATTCAACAGAAAGCAAGAGATTGTAGAAATATTATCATTGAATCTTCACAAACATTTTTGAATGATATTGACAAGAAGTTTAATGATTTAAATGAACAAATAAAACAGTTTCGTAATGAAAATGAATTTAATGAGATTAATTTAAATTATTTAAGAAATGAATTAATGAAAATTAGCGAAGAATCAAATAACCCATCAACGACTTCTATTCAGCAAGATTCTCAACCATTTATTAATGAAATTTCAGTTATTTCATTAGAAAGTAAGTTTGTAAAAAGTAGAGCAAAAGAAATCGAAAATGCTATTGATTTATTTATTGATGAAATCAATAACAATATAATATTAATATAAATCAAAAATGTAATTTATTTGTTTATCAAAGAAAAGAATAATTAGATGTGAAATATAAGTTAACTAAAAATTTTTTCTTCAACGCTTGAAAAGATGTTTGATTCTTTGTGAATTATTCTAACAAAAACCAAATAATTTATAAATAGATATTAGTAGAATTTCATCACTCTAGATATTTGATTTTTTGAAGTTCTTGATAAATTAGAGTAATAAAATATAATTTGTCTCTTTGTTAAATATATTTATTAACGTTTCATTCAAAATGAATCTGTTCTTTCTTCTTCTTCTTTTCATCAAAACCGGTTGTTTTTATTCTTTTCTAGAACCAAAATTCAAGAAATGGAATCAAAATGCCATCACTATGGCTGGTGGAAATGATAAGGGATACAACTTAAATCAACTCAATCGTCCCACTGGCATTTTTATTGATAAAAAGAAAAATATTTTCATTGCTGATTATGAAAATCATCGTGTTGTTGAATGGAAATGTAATGCAAAGGAAGGACAAATCATTGCAGGTGGAAATGGTAGAGGAAATCGAATGGATCAATTAAAACACCCAACAGATGTGGTCGTTGATCAAAAAAATCATTCGATCATCATTGCTGATAGTGATAACAGACGAGTGATTCAATGGTTGAATCAAAGGCAACAAATTCTCATCGCCAATATTGACTGTTTTGGTTTGGCAATGGATAAATATGGATTTCTTTATGTTTCAGATTGGAAGAAGCATGAAGTGAGACGATGGAAAATGGGAGAATACAACAACGAAGGAATTATAGTGGCAGGTGGAAATGGACAAGGAAATGAACTGAATCAACTCAATAATCCTACTTTTATTTTTGTTAATGAAGAACAATCTGTTTATGTATCAGATCAAAACAATCATCGTGTGATGAAATGGAGAAAAAATACAAAAGAAGGAAGAGTTGTAGCTGGAGGAAATCTGAATTACTTGCTTTACCCTCGAGGAATAACTATTGATAATTTTGGGCAAATATACGTAGCAGATTTTTGTGGTCCTCGAATAATGCGTTGGTGTGAAGGAAAAGAAGACGGTGAAATTGTTATTAGTGGAAATAGTACAAAAAATAAATCAAATCAATTATATGGTCCCATGGGTTTATCTTTTGATGATGATGGAAATCTTTATATTGTTGCTCGTGACAATCATCGAATTGAAAAGTTTGAGATAATTTTGTGAATGGAATTTTGATTTTGTAAAAAGAAAAATATTTTTTTGTTAAATAAATAACCAAGAAACAAAAGAAAATATTTTGTAATTTGAATTGAATAAAACAAAAACTATTGGAAAAGAAATATTGTATAAACAATTGATAATAAGAATTGAATTGAAATGAATTTTATTGAACAAAACAAATGTTGAAAAGATTTTCATATAGATGAAGAAGAAGAAAGAATTTTGAAATAATACAAAATTTATATTTGATTGTGGATTTGAAAGGCCTTTGATCGAATGAAAATGTTTCATTTAATTACTTTTAATAAATGTTCCTAAGAGATTTGTTTTATTAAGAAATAATTAAAATAAACATTTCATAATCTCTTCATTATGTTTAATTCGGTTTGTTCTAATAAAGTTTTTCTTTATTTTGTTTTCGAATAAAAAAATTCAACACTTTCTTTGTTTTGATCTTTGAATAAAAGGATTTTCTTGAAATATTCTAATGAATAACAGAAAATATTTATTACTAGATTAAAATTAGTTTGTCAAGAATACATGTGGCTATAGGAAAGTAGTTTTTGTTCTCAAAAATTTAAAAACAAATATTTACATAATCTGAGATTTTTATGTTTGAAAAGAGATTCATATTGTCTTCAGCCACATCCACACCCTTTGTCGGCTACTTCCTACAACAACCTCGGTATTCTGTATTATAGCATGAAAGAATATTTGAAAGCACTCTCATATTCTGAACTTGCTTTGAACATTTACAAAGTTTCATCACCACCAAATCATCTTGATCTTAACAATGTGAAACAATTGATTGAAATTGTAAAAAAAAGAATTATAATTCTTTTTTTTGAATAACTAAACAAATGTTTTCTTTTTGCAAAAGATAAATAACTGTTTTTTTTACTTAATCGTATGGGCGTACAGAGAATATCTCTGTAAGTTCAAAAAATAAGTATAACACCAAAAATCGTCGATTATCATTGTAATAAACATGTTGGAAATCTGAAATTTGTGCATTGTCAAATCTGACTCTGTGTTATCAAGTAAACTTTATTTTAGTACCGATAGTAGGATTTTTTTTGGCGTGATTATCTCCACATTATGATGATAAGAAATCTATTTATTATATCATTACAGTCCTTAGTGATATTTTTTAAATTGCCAAGACTAAGTGGTGTGTACTCTAGGTCTGCCATTAAATTATACTTTTCAAGGACAATAAAACCAGTTATATCCAAATATTCATCTTCTCTTTTATAACAACAATATTTTAGATAAAAATCATGAAACATTCAGAATCTGTTTAATCAAAAACAAAACGTGTTTTTTGTTATTTTTCTTCACTTGAAATGTTTTGGCACATTTTTTTTTTCGAATCCAATATATAACTGAAAATAAACATATGAAACATCAAATGTTAAGTTCTTTTACAAAATAGTTAGAAGAATTTAATCGATCAAAGAGAAATTAAAAGTGATGTTTAAAAGCACATAAGTAATAGTTCATTGATTTGAAAAGAGAACACGAGTATTCATACGATGAACAGTAGTTATTTCTTCTATTATTTCCATCTCTGGAATACAATATATCCTAAGAAAATACCTATGTTATATACTTTTGTTCATAACCTGAAAATAATACATTTTGATATAAGTCAATAGAGCAGAAGAAAAAGGAATTTTAATAACAAAAAGGAAAAACTACTATATGACTATATATGGAAGAAAATACCATGTGATCATATATGTGGTTAATGTAGAGAACGAATTATTTATCTGTTTGCTTACAAGTAGTAGTATAGACGAAATTCTCATTCATATTGAAATAGTTTCATTTTGGTAAATTAGTCTTTTGAAATAATATTACATAATAACTATCTCGAGAATAACAGTGATGTTAATAACAGTAGAAGACTGGTTTAAAATGAACATAGCGATGCAGTTGAGTGAAGTAGAGATTAATATATTATTCATTTCGAGGGTAAAGTTATGGGTACAGATCCATGTTTAACCTTCGACCACATTCAAATCTATGTTAAAACATTCTTTCGTTGAAAAAACATCACTAGAACTGTTTGAATTTATATCTGAAATTAAAACTACATCAGTTTGCATTTCTTATACTATTGAACAATGTTGTTATTATCATTGAGTTATTTAGTTTACATTTAGAATAGTAGATAAACAACTATTCATTCCTTCTAGAAATTTATATTCAAACACATGGCAATGAAAAATAATAAAACACTATGCATTATATGTAACAAAGATAAAATAACATATCTTTGTGAAGGATGTTCGAGAAACTTTTGTTTAATGGATTTAACAAAACATCGTCAAGTATTAAATGAAGAACTAAAACATATTATTAATGATTATAATCAATTTAAACACAGATTTACTGATCAAAAACCGACTTCACATGATCTTTCTTTAATAGATCAAATTAATGAATGGGAAATAAATTCAATTAATAAAATTAAACAAAGAGCAAGAAATTGTAGAGAAATTGTCACAGAATCATTACAAACATGCATTAATGATATTGAAATGAAATTTAGTGATTTAAATGAACAAATAAAACAAATTCAAAATGAAAATGAATTTAATGAAATTAATTTGAATTATTTAAGAAATGAATTTAAAAAAATTAGAGAAGAATTAGATAATCCATCAAATATTTCTATTCAACAAGATTCTCAACCATTTATTAATGAAATTTCAGTTATTTCATTGGAAAATAGTAAGTTTTTAATAAATAATTTCTAAAAGAAAAGTAATGACAAAAAAAAACAATAATAAGATATGAAATAAAAGTTTACTAAAAACCTTTTTCTTTCAAGTTTCAAAAGACGTTTGATTGATAATAACAAAAATCAAATAATTACTAAAGAGATATTCTTAGAATTTCATCACTCTAGATATTTTATTTTTTGAAGTTCTTGATACATTAGAAAAATAAACTACAATTTGTCTCTTTATTAAATATATTTAGTAACGTCTCGTTCAAAATTGATCTTTTCTTTCTTCTTCTTTTCATCGAAATATTTTGTTTTCATTCTTTTCTAGAACCAAAATTCAAGAAATGGAAGCAAAATGCCGTCACTATGGCTGGTGGAAAAGGACAAGGACAAAAATTAAATCAACTCCATAGCCCTCGCGCAATCTTCATTGATAAAAAGAAAAACGTTTTCATTGCTGATAATGATAATAATCGCATTGTTGAATGGAAATGTAATGCCGAGGAAGGACAAATCATTGCAGATAGAAATGAACAAGGAAATGGAATGAAACATCCAACAGATGTGATTGTTAATCAACAAACTCACTGGATCATCATTGCTGATCGTGGACACAGGCGAGTGTCTCAATGGTTGAATCAAAAGCAACAAATTCTAATTAAGAATATTTACTGTTTTGGCTTGGCAATGGACAAACATGGATTTCTTTATGTTTCTGATTACACGAAGAATGAAGTGAGACGATGGAAAATGGGAGACTACAACAATGAAGGCATTGTAGTGGCAGGTGGAAATGGAAAAGGAAATGAGCTCAATCAACTCAATCATCCTACTTTTATATTTGTTGATGAAGAACAATCTGTTTATGTATCAGATTGGGACAATCATCGTGTGATGAAATGGAGAATAGATGCAACAGAAGGAAGAATTGTGGCTGGAGGAAATGGTCATGGAAGAAAACTAAATCAACTGAATCATCCTCAAGGAGTCATTGTTGATCATTTGGGTCACATCTATGTGGCAGATTTTGGGAATCATCGAGTAATGCGTTGGTATGAAGGAAAAGAAGAAGGTGAAGTTGTTGTTGGTGGAAATGGTGAAGGAAATAAACCAAATCAATTGGATTGTCCTTACGGCTTATCTTTTGATGATGAAGGAAATCTGTATGTTGCTGATTATTCGAACCATCGAATTCAGAAATTCAAAATAGTTTTGTGAATGAAATTTTAGTTTTGAAAAAAAAGTTTTGTTAAATAAATAACCGAGAAACAAAAGAAAAAGTAAAGTTTTGTTATTGAATATTATCGAAAAAAATCGAATGAAATTTGAAGAAAAAGACATTTTACCAAAAGAACAAAAAGTCTTTGTTTTAGTATGTGAGTATGGGTAAATAAAACAGGAATCTACGTCTACTCACACTGACACTTGCACCCTTTTCATCATTACCCAAAACTTCTTTTACTTCTAATTTAATTTTATCACCTAAACCTTCATCATCAATATCATCAAAACTTCAAGCTGATTTTGATTCATTAACAATACGTTCTTTAACTAGAACAGAAAACGCAACATGTTTATCTCCTCTATCAGCAAAAATTCAATCAATTTTATTTACAGCTGGAAAATTTGCTTCGATAACAACTGATGAATCATCTTGTTTATCATCAATAAACTAAAGATGTTTAAACATTAATTTATCACAAAAATTAGTTTAATTATCAATTTTATACTTTCTTTTTATTTTTTTTTCTTTATTCAGCATTCACAATTAAAACTAATTCAACTTTTACATGTATAGATTTGACCAATTTCTTCATCAAATGAATTTTTACCATTATTATCTTCTCTTGAAGGGTGTGGAGGTATAACTGTAGAGTAATAGTAACCACATCCACCCTTTCGTTTTTTTCTTAAATAAAAACATCAAAGATATTTATTTATCATTTGAATTTTTTTATTAAAAACACTTTAAAAAGTAACTGATGACAAGGGTATAGGTGTGGATATTATCTTTTTCATAGGCCACACCCATACCCACCCACCACTACACATCATGTTGTAAGTGTTTTGTGTATGTATAATTCATCTCGAAGAGTAATAGATTTTGATGAATTTTTGTTGATATTTTCATACTCTGCAAACAAAAATTGTATGTTACTTTTTTTCCATTTCATGATCGGTCTCCTATTACATATTAAAAGATAACCTTTTTTCATTGCCCTTTTGTAATCGATTATATTTATTCTTAAAAGATCTTCATTTTCTTTTTAATCAATAAAATGTAATAGATGTTTATGACAGAATAGAAAAAAAGCGAAACGTATCAATTTTCAAAGTAAAAAAAAGAAAGATAAAGAAGGAATATATGTATAAGAACATGGTTACCATTTAGTCTTTCATTGTTTTTTTGCGAAACCAAAACGACATATTAATACGCAGTGAAAGGTAAGAGAACTATTTCGTATAAACTAAGTTAAAAATTTAGAATATTTACCGAGAGAAACTCATAAACTGATACATTTCGTTTGAGTTCATAATGTAAATAAAAATCCTAAAAGGATTCGTCCTATTGGTATATTTTTGGCGCGATATAAGACTTTTAGAGAATTTGCTGTTACGAGACCTCAGTTTTTCACCAAAATCTCAGTATCTTTGTATAAAGTCTCTTCGATGTATGGATTTTTCAAAAAGTGTATGTTTTATACAGTATCGATGGAGAAGTGGTTATACTCTGAAAAATCTATACATTGAAGAGACTTTATATAAAAGTCCTGTATCTCGTCGAAAACAGACTTATAGGACGAATCATTTTAGGATTTGTATCCACAGTATGCGTTCTAACTACGAGTAAAAGATAAGCTCGAACGGAGTGTATCGCTTGGTGAAGTTTCATCGTTTAAGTGACATCACTGATTTCCTTTTTAGAGATAGTGCTATTTTCTTCTTTCGTTTGAAATATAGATACAGTAACAAATAGGAGAACTTGTACATTTATATATATATACGTATATTTTTGTTGTTCTTTTCTTTTCTTTCTCTTTGAATCAAAATGCAAGTAATAGAACGGTGAAGTATATATATGTAACTTTATTTGAAGTGTAGCATTTCTCCATCGACTGGTCCTATTATTCACTGCTAGATTTCGAATCTTTATAGGTAGCTGTACCCGAAGAGACTACTATTCTATTCTATGATGAGTTTAGAAAGACATTGAGAAAAAACTCTGTATAACACATCATGACAAATAGTTTGATCATTTGAGAAGATAAGATTTCTGAAAATGTTATTCATTTATTTCGGGAACTTTGTGATCATCCTATGTCGATATCAATCAGGAATAATAAGACTTTTTAAAGGGTTCATATAGGATTATAACATTAACTACTGAAAAAGTGCGAACAAGAATTTGCTCCAACAAGTGATACAGTTTCAATCTATTAATGATCATGAATTTTCCTGTTGAAAAAAAATATAGTAGACGGGTCATTATTTTGTTTGTGTACTTTTAGATGGAAGAGAATAATGAAGAGCTGATAGAATTAAAACTGAGTTTACTAAACACTGAAGAAAATAATGAAATTGAAAAATATATTAATTTGGAAAATAATATTAGAACAATAAATCGATTGAGTTCTGATGGCCGTGTAGCATTACATTTTGCTCATTACTCTAGAAATAACGAAATAATTCAATTCTTCTTTACAAATGAGGCATTTACATCATTGGCATATATCTCATCTCAGTTAACACTGTATGATAAATCGAAAAGAAATGAAATAAAACAATTATTTTTAAAAACTTATAATTTACATAATTTTCAAGAAGAAATTCCAGATAATAATTATATTATTTGGTCAATAAGTGATGATAATTTAATAAAAAAACGTAAAGAATTTCGAGAACAAATTGATTTATACAAAACTTATGGTAATCAACATCGTGATTTAATAACAAAATTATTAATTGAAATAGTTGAATATTATTTAAATGAATATTTAATTCAACAAGAACGTTTCTCAAGAGACCAAATAGAAAAAATAAGAGATTGTTTTACAAAAGCCATTGAAGAACAAAATTATTTAAAGTATTTTATTCAAGCTTATACATTCACTGATAGTTTTCATCGTGTTTTAAATAAACATCTCGCATTATATATATTACATTATTTCGATACACGACCTTATTCTTCTACACCAGCAGAGTATCGTCTAATTAATTGTTTAGTACATATTGTTACATTATTAATTAATCATCCCGATGTGCGCCAGTATAAATATAAAGGTATCACTTATCGTGGTTTATTAATGAAGAAAAGTGATTTAAAACCTTATCATATTGGTAATTATATATTAAATAAATCATTTGTATCAACATCAAAAGATCGTGCAGTTGCTCGAATGTATGCTGGCACTGAACAAGAAAATGTTTTAGGTAAAATTTCAAATCATCATGATTCATCAGAAGTACCTGTTATCTTAAAATTTACAATCAAACAGGATGACACAGGTGTTGATATAAAACACATGTCAATGGTGGAAGATGAAGAAGAAGTATTAATATTACCATTTTCAGTATTTCAAGTTAAAGATAGAATTGAAAATGGTTCAAATACAGATTGGCCAGGATTAATTGAAATAGATTTAGAGCAATGCGAAGATAATGAACAAATTAATAATAAAACCCCAAAAAGTAAGTAGGAACACCAAACATAAAAATCTCTGTTATTCATATACAGCTCTTTACTGCAAAGAACACTAAGTGTGGGTGTCAAGGAAGGTACTATCTGCATCTCACATACCAACACCCATACCCTACAAGACTTGAAGTCCTAAAATTCTGCGCAATATCCTGAATATGCTTGGTCATTATAAGAGGATAGATGCTCTTAAATTATGACTTCTAGAAGAAGCGGACGAAGAAACTTTGCTAGTATCCTATGTAATTACTTTTAAGAAGCACTATACATCTATTATTTTTCTAGTATTATATTCCTTTCAACAGAAATAAAAAAAAATAAGTTCGAAGAGATATGTAAAATGTATTTAAATTCTTTAGATGAATTGTTAGCAAGTCACCGACGTCGATCAAAATGTTTATATGTCAGTAGTGGACTATGCATCATGTTCAGCTTGATTGTGGCTATAGGTTTCATCATTATATTTAATACCAAAAGCTACTATCCGCCACAGAATACAGATAGAAAAATGTCTAATCAAACAATTCAAACACGAAGTGAGTCAATCTGTAAATAGATTTAAACAAAAATATTCTTTCAAATAACGATCGACCATGTTTAAAAAGAAAACTAAATCTGCTATCAGATATCGTGTAATATATCGATAACCACACTGTCCTCTAACCAATAGCAAATGACATCGGTTTTCTCAGGTCCCTAATCGATAATTTCCTTCGGTTATTGTTGGATACGGATGGGTATCAGGAAATACCCACTATTGATCATTGATAAACTAGTTATTGTTTTGGTCCGATAAACCAACGAATGATCTCCGCCGTTGCAGAATTAGAGTAGACCGTTAGTTCGTAATTTCAAGGTAACTTATTATAATATAATCTTTGATTTTCATATATACGTTTCTACACTGTAAGTGTGGCTGTAGATATGTAGAATGAAGTAAGTACCTTCATCGACACCCACATCCATACCCGCTCTATGTAGATATCTGATAAGTATCAGTTCGGATGTCGTTTAAATACATATATAGTAGAGACATGCAAGCACACACAAAATTTTGCCAAAACTGTTAGCCGCTTACACTTTTGCGCAGAAATGTCTATAGATGATGAACTATGACGAGTACATAGTGATCGGATCTCTGATCGACATTCTAGTATTGAATATATTTGTAAAGACATAGCTGTAAATCGACAAATCAATAAAAGTCTCATAGTTGCAGAAAGTGAGATAACGACTGTTATCCATACTGACTTCTTTTAGTTTAATGGATCTTACGCATGGGTGAAACATTCCTTCCAAAGCTTCTAATCATCTGATTAAGTTCATTCATCGGCATCTTAACATTCTGTTTATCACAATGAAGTGTGATAATTATTTATAATACTTAGACTATTTAGTATCATAAACGACGAGGGAACTTTTTTTCTGAACCGATGAACTCATGATATTTTGTACTCGACCTAAACTCTGCCATCCGTGCAGAATTATCGCGCATAGTTCGTAGAGAGAATCCATCGGTTAGGGTCGCAGCGTATTTCTAAACTCTCTGATAATTTAACATGACTTTTCGAAGTTTGGATTCAGTGGCATTTAATTACGAGTAAAATCTAAGCTGTAGGTGGGTGGATATGAATGAGTGTCACACCCACATCCTTAAGATCCTGGGGGAGCTCTATGGACACATCCGGATTTTTCTTTATTTCTTATTATAATATTTGTCTAAAAGTTTGCGTGTTTTTGTCTTTGATCAAAACTTACTTGCACAATGTTGACGGTAAAGTTTTATGATTTTTTTCGAACAAAGTAGTGATATTCACTCAGCATTTCGGTAATGAAAGATGTCTGAAAGAGATTGTTGTTTACATGGTTCTTTGTAAGTCAGAATACTAGATACAGACACTGTATATTACCTACCGGTCTGTAATGATCTCTGTTGAATGTATGCATACTCGAAAAATTCATCACTGGTCGTAGACATCAGTGCTCGAAGCACTGAATCATTAACTCACGATAGTAGTTCGAGAAGAATCAATTTCTGAACAACAAGTTCTCTAATGCTTTTCTCATACGTTTATATTATTTATGAAATCAGAATCAACCATAATGTCAACCACATCATCACCACCACCACTACTATCAAGAACGAAAACAGGCAAAACAACAACTATAACGACATCGACATCGATACTGCCACTACCAACAACAACCAAAACAAAAACTATATCACTATCAAAAACAACTAAAAGAAAAGCGACACAACCACTAAAAACAAGTACAACAACGACCAAAATCACACCACCACCAAAAACAACAACTACGACAACCACACCATTACCAACAACAACTACAACAACGACCACAGCACTACCAACAACAACTACAACAAAAACCACACTACTACCAACAACAACTACAACAGCAACCACACCTCTACCAACAACGACCGCATCAAAACCCATATCATCAACAAAAACCACACCAACACCAAAAACAACTACAACAACAACTACACCACTACCAAAATCAACCAAAACAAAAACCACACCACCGTCAAAAACAACCAAAACAAAA